TGCAGATGACAGGGAACAAGCCTCTGTACGGGGCTTGTCTGCAGAGAGAGACAGCAAACACAGGAACACGTTTTAGAGCTCTTCTACCGATACACTGTGGGGGACATATCTCCTTTGAAACTGCATTTGTAGTATTCAACATGACTATGGGTATACTGTGACAGCAGCAATGCATATACTGTACATACACTCAACGGCCACTTTGTTAGGTACAACTGTTCTGCTGCTCGTTAACGGAAAAAGCTAATCAGCCAATCACATGACTGTGTCCATCCCTTTATGACCACAGTGTACCCATCTTCTGATGGCTACTTCCAGCAGGATAATGCACCATGTCACAAAGCTCAAATCATCTCAAACTGGTTTCTTGAACATGACAATGAGTTCACTGTACTCCAATGGCCTCCACAGTCACCAGATCTCAGTCCAATAGAGCACCTTTGGGATGTGGTGGAACTGGAGATTTTCATCATGGATGTGCAGCCGACAAATCTGCAGTAACTGTGTGATGTCATCATGTCAATATGGATCAAAATCTCCAAGGAGTGTTTCCAGCACCTTGTTGAATCTATGCCACCAAGAATTAAGGCAGCTCTGAGGGCCAAGGGGTCCAACCTGGTACTAGCAAGGTGTACCTAATAAAGTGGCCGGCGAGTGTATGCTCTGTTTACTGAACTGTATCAATCAGGTCTAATAACATTTTTCCACTCACAGTCCTTCTTCTTTGACAATTTCTGCCAGAATGGTTGGCGTTGATTTGGCCTTCCTGTTTTCATCCACTGAACACAAACAAAAGAAAACTTGTTTTCAATGACAACATCACATTGATAACTATAATGGCTGTGAATAAGACTGCATAGCTGCTGTGTGTTACCTTGTAGCCTCAGTCTGGCAGTGTCAAGAGGGAAGAACACTGTCATGGCAGTCACACTTCCCTAAAACAGGCGACAATTAATATTCAGGGAAGAGACACATGCAGTGCCCTTGAGCTCAATATGGAAGAAATCTCACACCAAACTCCATTGAAAAATCTACTAATTTAAAGAATGTCTAGCACGAAACACAGACAAAAACCGAGGATACCTATTTTCTGAATAACCATAAAACCCTGTTCAATTCGGCAAGTTTGTTAAGCTACATAAAAATAGTTATTGCCGAATTAAAAGGTTTGTTTATTATTTCAGGATTCGCAAAACTTGCTCTCATTCATATCATATATGGCGCTGTCGGGTCTAAAACATATAAACACGCTACATTTTGAATGGAGTTTCGTGTGGAGGATTTAAAGCGTGTAAGTACCAGCTGCATAGCTAACAGCAACTGCAGTTTTCGTTACACACACATTTACAGAAATGAACAGTGAAAGTGAAGCTAACTTACCACTGCTCCTGACACAGCATGAACCAAACTCTCATACGACAACACCGAGAAGCTCATTTTGAACGCGGTTATTAATTTATTTCGCGTCAAACCCTTTAGCTATAGTACCATAACTCCAGTCACCATCTGTAGCCTCCTGTTTGGAAAACAAAACCAACTTGATGCCCTCATTCGCCTGGTGACCGTTTTTAGACACCCACTCGTTTTCTTGTGCTGACTTGTTTCTTCCAGGGAACACAGGGGTATTGTGGGTAATGTAGTAATCTTATTCTGCTCTCTAGAAACAGTGAGGAAGGAACTTTGGCTCCTTACTACTTTACCTCTTCTGAATATTTGCAGGGATCAGCCTCAGCATGAATTCAGGATTAATGTCTTTATAGAAGCTGGATGAGTGTTGTACCACAGATACATCCTTCTCTTCAACTTTGGTTCACAGTAAGACAGTAATAAAGACGGTCATTCCAATGTTCCCTGAGCTCCCAGGGTCCTATGTTCCCAGATTTATAGGATACATAAAGGGAACAGGACAGAGGGTCCTCTGCTCTGCCGTTCTACATATGTGCTCTCTCAGCGTCCTATGTTCCCCAGCTGTATAGCACATAATGTCAACTTGAACAAGATGCTGCCCGCCACCTCTATATTTGCTCAATATGACATGGGCTAGAATTAAGTTAGGGAACCATAATCATGACTCTGAAAATCATGAAATTACACTGGATTCAGCCTTAATGTGTGTAAACAGAATATTGAACATAGGACCCAGGTAACACAGGAACTTAGGGATATGTGACCTTGGTAACGTCCCAGGACGCTGGGAACATAGGACCCAGGGAACATAGGGCCCCTGGGAACATAGAACCCTGAGACCATAAGGCCACGGGAACATAGGACCTTGGTAACATATGATCTTGGGAACATAGAGCCCTGGGAACATAGGACCTTGGAAATATGTGACCTTGGGAAATTAGGATCCTGGGAACATAGGCCCCATGGTATCATTGAACCCTGGGACCTTTGGAACATAGGAACGTGGGAACACAGAACCCTGGCAACACAGGACCCTGAGAACATAGGAACTTGGGAACATAAGAACTTTGGACTATAGGACCCTGGCAACATAAAAACCCAGGAACATAGAACCCTTTGGGAAAATTGGTTCTTGGGAATATGTGGCCTTGGGAACATAGAACCCCTGGGATAAGTGGACCCCAGGAACATAGGACCTTGAAAACAAAGGACCCTGGGAATATATGACCTTACGAACATAGGGCCCTGGGATCATTGGACCCTGGAAAAATAGGATCATGGGAACATAGGACCCTAGTGACATATGAATTTGGAACTATAGGACTATGAGAATACACCCTGGGAACAAAGGACCTTGGGAACATTGGACCCCAGGAACATAGGAACTTGGGAACATAGGAACTAAGGAGCATAGAACCCTGGGAACATATGACCTTGGTAACCTACGACCTTGGGAACATAGAACCCTAGGGACATATGACTTTGGGACTATAGGACTCTGAGGATATACAAACTTGGGCATATAGAACCCTGGGAACATACCAACTTGGGAACATAGGACCCTGGGGACATAGGAACTTGGGAACATAGGAACTTAGGAGCATAGAACCCTGGGAACATATGATCTTGGTAACCTACGACCCTGGGAACATAGGACCTTGGGAACATAGGACCCTAGGGACATATGAACTTGGGACTATGGATCTCTGAGAACATACCAACTTGGGAACATAGGACCCTGGGGACATAGGAACTTGGGAACATAGGAACTTAGTAGCATAGAACCCTGGGAACAAATGACCTTGGTAACCTACGACCCTACATAGGACCTTGGGAACATAGGACCCTAGGGACATATGAACTTGGGACTACAGAACTCGGAGAACATACCAACTTGGTAACTTATGATCCTGGGAACATATGATCTTGGTAACTTACGACCCAGGGAACATAGGACCTTGGTAACTTACGACCCTGAGAACATACCAACTTGGTAACTTACGACCCTGGGAACACATGACCTTGGTAACTTACGACCCTGGGAACATATGACCTTGGTAAATTACGACCCTGGGATCATAGGACCTTGGTAACTTACGACCCTGCGAACATATGACCTTGGTAAATTACGACCCTGGGATCATAGGACCTTGGTAACTTACGACCCTGGGAACATATGACCTTGGTAAATTACGACCCAGGGAACATATGACCTTGGTAACTTACGACCCTGGGAACATAGGACCTTGGTAACTTACGACCCTGGGAACATATGACCTTGGTAACTTACGACCGTGGGAACATAGATATGCTCCTATAAAAAATTACTAAAGAGGTACCTTCCTGTTCATGTTTTTCATTTTTCATTGTTTGTATTTTGTAACATAGTAAATAATTACGCTGTATGTTCATAGATTTGTACTTTAGATCTTAGTTCCTTTTTTACTGTTTTTCAAGTCAAAAGTCTGCTATTATTTACAAAAACTTAGATCCTGTTCCTGAACTAGCAGTAGCCCCTGCTGTCAAATTTTATTTACACGTATACGTATACGTCGCTACATAACCGCTGTTATTATGCAGGCATCTTTTTTGATCCATACTTGCTTTGCATTCTTGGCAGGATTTGAACTTCAGGTGTGATCTTAAAGACAAAAAGGTGTAAGTATGGTCAGTTTTGAGCATCTTAAAGACAGCACTATGCAAATGCTGAGGGACAGAAACATCAACTATGACTAGAAGATAAAAAGACTGTAACTGCCCCCCATGTTTATCTCAAGGTGAGGCAAATGAACTTGAGGACATCAACCTGTAATACAAGATTAAAAATGGCAAAGGTGTGCCAGTGAAGTTAGTATGAGCTTCATGTTGTTGCTGCCTTATGTTATGTAGAGCAACAGGTTTAGATGTACGTACAATTTATCACGCTCCTCTAAAACAATTGGCTGAAATAGTAATGACGATTAGAGAGGGGGCTGAAGTCTTGTTTAACCATTTAAATTTATTTGTAGACATTTCATAAAATAAAATACATACATAAAACACTTTTTTTACATTAAAACATAAAATACTTTTTTTACATTAAAACAGTTTGATTCAATGAAACAAAATGCACAGAAGCATACAGTGTAGTATTCTATATGCTGTTACATGTGATTCCATGTATGTTACAGGCATGCAGCGTTATGTGACAACAAACATTAATGAACACTTGGGCATTTGGACATGGACAAAAACAATTTCTGCTGCGCAGGCTCCCCTATCAGAGTTAAGTCATCTGACCATCTTTAGTAACGCCATGTGAAAACTCTCCACTTTAAAATTCTTACATGTGTATTAGAAAAATGTATGACATCATCCCAACCCCTCACTTATCAACAAGGCACTTATTTCTCAGCTACTGTGGTGGACCTGTTCACTGGCTCTCTCTACAAGACTGGTTAGACTGGGCAGCTCCCAGTTGTTTGAATTAAGAAAGCAGCAGCTTACATGTTCACAGGTGGTTGACAGTCACGTGACAAAATAACTCAAGGTTGATCTCTAGGGGGCTTTCATATTAGGGACTCAGGTCAGTATCCAAGTAAACTTGACCTCAAAGTCCAGTTCTTGTGATTTGTGTGAATGCTGAGTACCGTACCCAAGCATGGTACCCCAATCTGTGCCTGAGTCCACTTAAAAAGATGGTCAAATCAATTGTACCTAGTATGAAAACATCCTTAATCTCACATGGGACACAAACACTGGTCTCCTGGGTCAAAGTCCTGCACTTGCTGGACCCGTCCACCTCCCCTCCCACCTGCCCTGAGCTGCTCTGAACATATAATAATGACACTAATAAGTTCACACTGGAGTTGACTGAAAGACTGACACAGAGGGCCACTGAATAAGCAGCTTTTTTATGCCCTGGGTGTGAGAGCAGGCTGTTACTAATGTGTTTGTAGCTGGTTTGTAAGGAAATTAAAGTGCTGGTTCACTTCCATTTATGTTATTTAATGTAACGCAGGTGATCAGTGAGATAGAGCGTGCATGCTCAACATGGCCTTCATTAGTAAACAGCTAAAATAAATTAAAATAAATAACAACTCATCAGTCTCCAGCCCATTCACACAGCCACTGCTGACACTGCCTCCTCTGCTCCTCACTCTCCTCCTTAGTCCTCTGTTCCCGGAGTCCTTTCCTCCTCTCCTCCTCCCTTCTCGCCTTCTCTCTCTTCTCCTCTTTGATCTTCCTGTCCTCCTCCACCTTTTGCTCCAGCAGCGCCTCCACAGTGGCCGCCAGTGTCCTTAATGAGCGCTGCGGGAGCCACTTGGCATCTTCCACGGGGAGAAAGGGGTCTCCAGCAGTGACCAGCAGGGGCTCAGGTTCAAGGGGAATGCGCAGGAGGTGGGCGTGCAGCATCATGCGGTAGGGAGCATCTTCCGCTCCTGAGCTGTAGGTGAAGTCTCCGACAATGGGGTGGCCTATTGCGCTGCAGTGGACCCTCAGCTGGTGGGTTCGACCTGAGGGGAAAAGGAGGCAGAAGGGAGAAAGACTTTTCACAGCTGTGTCAGAGGATTTTCATGAATTACACAAGGTATCTCAAAGTCAACTATAATAACATGGCAAGGAAAGATTAAGAGAAACTCTATCAATGTTAAATATAAATACAAATATATTCCATTGTCTGGCAAGTTTTCAAACTAAAAATTTCAAGATGAACACTCAAGATTAGAGTCACAAATTCAGTATCCAACCAATCGTCTCCCCTTCTGTTTCTGAGTATGACACTCAATAATGGCCAGAGAGACATTTTTGCAGAACATTATGATGTCACAGTGAGGTTGACCTTTGACCTTTTGGACAGAAAATATAATTACTTTAGTATTTTATGCTATCAAACATTTGTGGGAATTTTTTTTCATATTTTATGTACGAATTCTTGACCAATGGCCAAAAACATTTTTGGTAAGGTCACAGTGGCCTTGACCTTTAACCACTAAAATCAAATCAGTACATCCCTAAATCAAGTTGGATGTTTGTGCCGAATTTGAGTAAATTCCCTTTAAGAGTTCTTGAGATGTTGTGTTCACAAGAATGACACAGACGAGGTCACAGTGACCCTGATCTTTGACCACCAAAATCTAATCAGCTTATTGTCGAGTCAAGTGGTGGTTTGTGCCAAATTTGAGGAAATTTTCCTAAAGGCCTTGTTGAGATATCAAAATCACAAGAATGAGACAGTCCCAAGATCCTGATGTCCATGACTTTTGACCACCAAAATCTAACCAGTTCATCCTTGAGTCCAGTGGACGTTTATCCCAAAGTTGAAGAAATTTCTTCAGGGCCTTCTTGAGATATCGTTTTCATGAGATTGGAAGTATGGAGGTACGGACAACCTGAAAACATTTGCCTTGGCATATGCTTTTAGGCGTCTGCACCAGCACATGAAAACTTGACGAGTGTTTCCAAAATATAAACTGTCCAGATAATATTTTTTAAATTAGGTGACAAGACAAATCCTTCAATTCCCGTATATAAAAAGAAGCAAATGAGTGTTGTTACCAGTGAGTGGCTGCAGTAGAACCTTGGTGACAGGGTCTCCGTCATACAACCCGTACTCCAACACTGTCAGCTCAGTTTGGCAAGGCTTGGGGTTCTCACAACCTGAAGAGAGAAGGAGGGGAGGGATCAACAAGAAACACTAAAAGTAAAAAGTCTGTAGTCATCTATTCATTGAACTTTCTGGAAAATCCTATGCAAATGTTTTAAAATGTAAAACATGAAAAACAATAAGGCGCTTTCCCATCAGCCTGGTTAAGCTGAATTTAATGCAGTGCAAGCCAACTCAGGTTCATGTACCTTCTGTTCCCTCAATACACATCATGTGTGTTTTTCCCTCTGAGGAGTTCTTGCCAATGGAGAAATCCAAAGTTTGTGTCTCTTCTTCCACCCAGCCACGTACCTGGGGAAGCAAAATAAATTGGATAACATTTTATTTCCTTACTTTTAAAACACAAAGAGAAGAGCGTGTAAGAAAAGAGACATATTTTCCTAAAAGACATATGGTACAGTAATAACTCTGTTGTGTGCATGTGTGTCATTGTGTTTAGGAATAGACCGATATGGATTTTTTAGGGCCGATGCCGATACCAATTTTTTTCCATCACCCTTAGCCGATGACCGATTATGGACTGCTGATTTTCTTGAGCCGATATTTGGGGCCGATACTGCTTTTGCTCCCTCAATTTACATAAAAAAATGACACAATGATAACAAATATTACAGGTCTGAAGTTTAAAATAAGAAACATTTATTGAACAGTAAAAAATACTAAAACAAGATGGAAAGTTGAGGTAGAACAGGTAGAATATTATTATTATTATTATTATACATTCAAATAAAAAAAAGAGTTCAGTGCTCTTAAATCTTCCAGTAATGTCTTTATAAAATAAACAAATATTTAAGCTGAAGCATAAATAAAATAACAACTACTGTACACAGTAGAATTCAACAGCTTTGTTCAACTTAACCACATACTTTCAAATGAAAAAAAGTGCCAGGGAAAAATAAATCCGCTAACCCACGCGCATATCGGCCGATGCCGATACAAGTAAAAAACTCAAATATCGGCCCGATATATCGGCCGGCCGATGTATCGGTCTATCCTTAATTGTATTTCATACCAGAGCGAGGTACGCTTTGGTGACAGTGCGGTCCTTGAAGCAGCGGTAAGCACGGCCAGCAGCAGCTTTGTTGAGGGCAACACACAGAGCCCCACTTGTGGAGAAATCCAACTGATGACAGAACCTGTTGAGGGAAGTGAAACACGTTGAGACTATTCCTTTTTTATTACCGTGATGCATGTGAATAGATGTACTCAGTGTGATTCTGACCTGAACCCATAGTAGGTGCTGGGATCTGCCAGCTGAGGGAAGCGGTATCGAAGCTGCGCCTGCACGGTGTATTTCTCGTACCACATCTTGCTGTCAATGCGGATGTCCCAGTGCTTGTCCACCACGATGTAGTCATCGCTCTGGTACAGCACACGCAGGCTCCCCAGGCTGGCAGGCTCGGTGGTCATCATGTGCAGCATTTAACTGACACAACGCCAACAGCCCTGCAGAGATAAGGTTGTTATCTTGATATCTCACTTTGTCATTTTATTGAAATCACGAATAAAACTACTTGTTATGGACAATGCCTCCTAACATTTATATTATTGCATTACATAACTGATGCCTTGGTGAGTAGGCAGCACTTCATGTTATAGCTGGTCGACATGGAGCCAATTTGAATTACTTTATACACTGTTTAATGTGTCTTAAACTGATCATCACTATGCAGAGTAACAAAGTTCTAACAAATGTAGGTGTTGTGTGACATGTGGAATAAAAACAAGCATTAAAGGGAAACATTCCAATAAGGTACCTAAATGTGTATTCAAGTATTTTCTTCGACTAAATGTAACTGGTTCAAGCTCAGTAGTAAACCTACTCAGCATTAATTGAAGTGAATGTCTCAACCACAGTGCTGCAACATGTTGACATGTGTAAGACTGTAAGAAGACCAGTACACAGCAGTCTGTCCTGTGTCTGAGGTTGTCTTCCTGTCTAAATATCCCGTCGTGACACCATCTCTGCTACTGGTGCTCAAAAAAATCTGGTAAACAACTTTTTGGGGAGGTGGCAGCAAAGGATGCTCTGGTTAGCATGTTAGCACCGGTGGTTTGCTAGCTACTGTATGCTAACACCATGAGATAACTAGCTATTTGTTAGCGTCATTATGCTGTGACTGCTTTGAGAACTTACCTCGGATAAATAGCGAAGACTAATGTGTGGTATATTTCTTCGACATGCCCAAAATAAGTGTACATCTATAGAGAAACACAGATGTAAACACACAACCACAAGTCGTGCGCAGCCTCTTCTTCTTCTTCTTCTTCTTCTTCTTCTTCTTCTTCTTCTTTGGTTGTTATGGTGAAACGTGTACAGCGCCATCTACTGTACTGGAGTGCAATAACATGGTGGCTCTGAGTCCCAGCTGAGGTCAGTTTGAAACCAAAAAAGCAGGATTTTTGAGCTGTATGGAGAAACTTGCAAAGTAAAACCTCCTTATTTTTGTTATTTTGTTTTTATTTGTTTGTTTTTGTGTTACATCAGTCAGTGTTACAGATTTGAGAGGGGTCTGAGTTTTACTCTAGAACGTTATTTAGTAATCCAGCAAACCTGCTTCTTGGTGATGGACCCAGAAAACACTGAAATGTTTTTTTATTTGTCGTCATGTGATTAGCTCTGTCATGTGACGACACAAAGGTTCACATGGCGCCTTTCTGTGGCCATTTGTTGTCTTTGAGTTTCCCGTAGCTGTGTTTTTCCCTAACATTTTACCCCATGACCAGGTAAAACTTTTAACTAATAGATCTCACAGTTGATTACTTACATTAAGACAATTGTTTTTTATATTAGTTCTCTGAAATTTTATATTTAAATATGAAAATGAACAGTGCCAGATCCCCTAGGCTACTCCTTGTCGCCACATTTACCCATATGCTTATCATTCTTTTAAAAAAAAGTGTCTTATAGGCCAATAGAGTTAAGTTATTTATTTAATATTTATTTTTTCTTTAAAGGGACCTTTGCACAGATGGGGCTCCTCAGCTGCAGCCAGGGCAGTCCACAGAAATTAACAGATTAATATAAATATCAAGCAGTGACATGAGGTGCAAGAGTACATGCAAGTACAATAATAAGCAGTGAGTACAAATATGTGATAAAGAGAAAACGACCACATGGTTAATTCAAGGCTCACATGTATTTGAAAAAACACATAGACAATACAGTCTTAGATATATATATATATATATATATACAAATTATATTTACAAATATATATAAATATACAAGTTATTTTCACTTTCATTAACATCATGAGATAAGGCATTTGGCCTTGGCGGAGGTCTGTGCTCTCCGAGTGCCCTTCTAGTTTCATCTGTTTCCGCTCTGTCAGGATTGATCCAGGTCACTCACACATTATTCATGACGTCCATAATCCCTCACCTCGACCTCTCCTCGACACCTTGATCTGGCAGGGGTCAGCGGCTCTGATGACACGCTCCATCCAGCATTGTGAACATGTGGTATTTGAGATAATGAAGTGCTGTTGTGTTTTCTGTTTGACTGATTTCTGGTTCTTGTCTGAGCAGTAAATGATGATGAAACTCTGCCCCCATCGTTCCAGGGTCATCGGAGAGTAGTGACCCCGATGCAGTGACATTTGGAGACAGAGATAGTGGGTTGAATTTAGAATCTCAGCCAAAATGCAGGTGAAGTTTCTAAGTTTCGGAAATCTGATTGGCCACTCCTGGTGCCCCACCAGAAGGTATAGGTAGGCCACTTGTTTTGTGAGTTAAGACAAGAATTACAGCTATACAATATATTGTTTTTTTATCGCCAGTGTGATGTCAACCTGCATGATAAACACATTAGGACAGAATTACGCTCAATTTTTTGACTGAGTTTTTTTTTTTTGGCACCTCTTCTGATTGGTTCAGTGTTGAATTTATTCAGTAAAAGAATTCTGAAAATAATTCCCCTTAATTTTTTAAATTCAACAAGCCATTGGCTTGCTTTCTCATTCAGAAACAACCCAATAGCCTGAATAAATGTTGGCACTGCACATTTCTGCAAACCACAGATATGTTATATTTATACATTATTATGTAGGAGATATGTTAAAACTTTACGTTTCTTTCCAGCAGCAACCTGTGAGACTGAAAAATTAAGGAAATGGTTAAGTGTCAAAAACTGCAGTTCATCTAATGGCCACTTGGGGCTGGCTCCAAAACTGAATAAATCCCAATAGACCCAATGTTAAAATACCCACCTTTACAGCAGAAATAAACATGTTTACAGCCTGGTACAAAAAAACAATTTTGGTCTCGATAGCTAATTTCTCTGTTCATGTCAATTGTACGGGAGTTCATTTTTTTTTAACTCACCCATTCACATTTTATTAAGGCTTAAAGTTATGCACCTTGTCACATATTGAAGTTTGGTCATGGACCTTCCACATCCAGATACAATGTGCAAGGCACCCTGGGTGTGTTGGTCAAGTCAAGTTCTGCCTGTTACATGCATTGTCTTCTTTCAAAATACACTTCTGTTTTCACAAGAAATGAAACATTTACATACAGTCTCTTTCAAAATAAATGCACTACGTTGGTACAACAACGCGATTTGATGTTTGTTTTTTTTTCCTTCAACAACAAAAGCACATGGTTAGGTTTAGGAAAAAAGAACAGGATTCGGCTTTAGAATCTTACGGGACATCATACATGTTGTATGTCTTTTAAATGGACCTTGAGTCTATGAAATAAAAGTTGATTGATTGATTGATCAACGCCGCTCTCTTGGGTGAAAGTCGATGTTTATTGGACCCATCCACCACCCCTTCTACCCACCCCACTTGGACTTTCGCCATCTTATCTTTCATTCGTGTCCTGCCATGTTTCGCCCTGATGCCACCAAGCGCCCTTAAACCATAATGGCGACCAGCTGTGTATCATGCTGACATTAAAGGACACCTTTTTTCGTTGGTTTCTGACACCGCAAGTCACTGCCCAAGTGCCTGATTTCAATGACTTCGGAGTGTTCTTCTACAGCTGTCGGTCAAGTTGTCTTACACAACACAACAACCAAAACAAAAAATGGAAATGTCATCATTTTAGTAAGATATATGAGAGAGTGTGAAAACACTTTTGCTTATTGCTTAAGGCTACTTGGACTTTTTTATTGACATACATTCAAAGCAGAATATGTAGAGTTATTTGTTTTTTCCATACTGACAATGAGAGTCAGACTTGAGGCAAAAAAAGGATCAAAATGTCAATATAAACTTTTCACTCTGCTCCTCCAGCATCATCATCTTCTGTACTCCATATTTTCAGCATGCTCCAAACACTAATAATTTTCCCGCACTAATTCCATCACATGGTGACCTCCTAATAGCTCGTGGCTAACACGTTATTAGCAAAGTGCTGATTGTTTGGAACAGACTGTGCTGGATGAATAAAGTGCAGCTCTTTCATTAAGTAATCCCCAAACACAGACAGGTATGAATCTGTTTTCAGCTAAGAAGATCAAGAATTATTATATAATTGGAATTTCATAACCCAATCTGCTTTCCACTGCGTGTGTGTGTGTGTGTTTGTGTGTGTGTGTGTGTGTGTGTGTGTGTGTGTGTCAATGAGACAGGTGTTTCTACAGAATAGGATTCACATGTGGGGTCATGTCTCTAGTGTCGGGTTTCTGGTTATTGTTATGTAACGCTTCAGAGCAAATCGTCTTAGGTTTGAGTGGCAGATTGGCAGGTTTACCTGGGCGTGCACTGTGACAAGAAAACATCACACACACACACACACACACACACACACACACACACACACACAAACAGATGCACGTGGCATCACACAGTTTGAGTGGAAATCGCAAATGTTTTGGTCAGACGTCGGAGAAGACAAAGCAGAGAGGCTTCGCTGAAACATAAAAGACGGATATATTATTTTTCCTTGCTTCAAAACTGGATTTTCTTTTTCTCTTTTGACTATAAAATCACAACCATTAATTGGAAATATTGCCAAATTTTAATGGTACATCTTTTCTGCTGGGCTCTGTGAATGAAAATCTACCTGGATGATATCTGCCTCTCCATCTTGGATTTATCCTCCACTCTCTTTGGATCTTTTGGGGAGTTGAAAAGCTTGAAACAAACTGGATAAAAGTGCCTCCAACAACAGCTCTGTCTCAAATCCCACAGGTGTGAGTATTTGTGTGTCTGGATGCAGCCATTTTATGCAGAGAAAACACCAGCTGGATCATTGAAAGTGCACGTGTGACCTTACAAACTGTGCACAACCTCTTCTAGTCCTTGCATTTACTCCTCCTTCACCTTGCCACATCAGTACAGTTGTGACCTGTCTGCACACGATGGAGAACAAGTCATTCCTGCAGGCTCGCTGTGAGGAGCCCATAATGACATCAGACTGGGGCATCCCTCTGCTGCTGGCTCTGCTGCTCCTGGCGCTGATCTACGCCTTCCTCTACCTGCCAGCCACCGCCCAGCGAGCCCTGCTGGAGCAGGCGCTCAGCAGCAACAACACAACCACGGCGGTGACCACAGCCGGCAAGGAGGACTGGCTCACAGATGAGTAGGACAGATGACAAACAGACGGACAAAGAGGTTTATCAGTGGACATGTGGACATGTGACAGCAGAGCGCTCTGTCCTTGAGTAGATTGTGTGGATTATACTGCTCTGAAGTGTTGTTACTGTCCTGTGGGATAAAATGACAGTTTGAAGCAGACTGATTGAATTACCCTGCAGATGTTACTGACTGAACGGAAGGACAAATGTACGGGGGATAAAACATGTCTTAAAGCATGACTATATGTTGACAGAAGACAAGTTTTATGACTGGTTTTTACTGTTGTTGAGAGGTTTAGAGAGGTTTAAAACATAGCTCGCAGTGGACCTGAACTCATCGGACTGCATTTACTCTTCGATGTACTGTGACTTTTTCTTGCGCACTGGCACTTCTAACAAGCTGCTGCCATCATCATGCCCTCTCCATGTCAGGTTCTCTGGGAGATTCATAATAACATAAACTGCATTACCCAGCTTCTTAAGCCAGATCCTTTCATTCATTCATATTTCGGATCCGCTCATCCTGTTAGGAGTTGCAGATGTGCTGGAGTCTATACCAGCTGACATTGGGTGAGAGGCAGGGTACATCTTGTACGGGTCACCAGACTATCACAGGGCTGACACGTAGAGAGAGTCCATCTTTGGACTGTGGGAGGAAGCTGGAGTACCTGGAGAAAACCCACGCTGACACAGGGAGAACATGGAAGCCACGCCATCGCTGTATGTTAGCAAATGCTGGG